TGTATGGCCAGAACCACAAGGATTACGAGAACATACTTAAGAACTTAAGCTTATATTCCCTTCGACGCAGATGCATGAGGGGTGACTTAATTGAAACGTTCAAAATAATGAAAGGTTTGTCGGGCATCAAAATTGAGGAGATATTATCTGCGATCTCGGAAATTGGCACCAGGGGGGATAGCTTCAAATCCCGGCATAATCGCAGTAGGCTGCAAATCTGGGCAAGGTTCTTCACCAACAGGGTGATCTCACTTTGGAATAGGCTGTCAGAACACATGGTCAGATGCAGCACTGTAGTGGCATTCAAGACCGCCCTGGATAAGTGTTGGAGAACAGTTTACTCAGAAGCAGCCTACTGAGGACTAAGGAGCTAAGAAAACACTCGCACGCTAGCCGGTAAGGTTTGATGTTACAGATGTGGATGTTTGCTAGAGAAAGGTGCTTTCTTCGAATCTACCAGGTGCCAACATTTTAAATTTTATGACAATTCCTCTAGGTGTCTTTGTCAGGAACAGGGTCCTTCATACTAACCTATGGCACCTTGGCCCAGGCCTATACTGCTGAGTCTCATCTGTCTATTTTCAGAAACACCCTAGCTGGGAACGTATACTAAGGACAGAGACAACTAGACCCACCAACAGTTGATCGCTGGAACCAACAACACGCAGTGTTAAGAGCTACAAACACCCGCCAACAACACAACAATGTGAATGCTCGACTAGCTGGAAGCCACATTTCGTCCTGTGCATACTGAAATGAACTGGTGGGTGCCATACTTGACCGCATACTACCGAAGGAATTCTGGACGCTCGATTGGCCGTGGCCATTTTCGGTCCTGTGCAAAGTGAAATGAATTAAAACCAAATGCTAAGATTGTCAAATCTATGCCCAAATCAGTAAATCCACGCATCGCCAAGGGAGTCCAGGTTGTTCTGAGTAACAGCCTGCATCAAATCTAGAATGAACTGCACAAATTGTGTGCAGAGGTAGCGTCGATCAAGAATGTCAGGGCAAATGGAGCGTCCAGGTGCAACAAGTTACTGGTCCTCAATAAAGATGAACCAATAACCAGGGAGTCTAAAACTCGGCTCAAACTGAACCGCCACTGAGTGATTGCTATACTTCGACTGGTAGGCTTAGATACAAAATGTCACATAAAAGGGATACACAGAGTAGGTGTTTGAAAGCAGCTAAACCCGAACGGGGTGCCTGCGGTCCGACCGATACTAGTGGAGTTCGGAGAGGCAGAACCAAGGGACATGCTCTTGTCAAAAGCATTCATTTAGAGTCAGCACACAAAAGGGCGCTACAGTATAGCTCCGGACAACCCAAGGCCGCATGGGAAAGTAGAGTATAAGGGGTCCAAGTGAAGGGTCAGTAACCAGGGTACGCAGCTGGCGACAAACGTTCCTTACAGAAACGGGGTGGTGATTATAGAAGATATAATGGAAGAAGAAAGATAGAAGACCTGCTTGCTGAGCAGGTCAGTAAGTGAAGATGAACAAAAAAAATTGTTCAGACGTCCACACCACTGCGGAGGACGTCCATGGTAGAACCGACGGACACCGAACTTAGAGCGCGCAGGACAATGACTAAACCAAACATATGAGAAAACGGGCCACCGCTCGGGTGCTGCGTCCGAGACCAAAGCAAGATTAGGGGGCTTAAAATGCCCAATTCCGAAGAAGTTAGTTATATTATGCGCTACTGTGTGCAGCACCCGGAATAAGTGGGCAGAGCTGGGGATCGAATCTGAGGAACTCAAAGCTGTAATGATTGTTGTCTCTGAAACATGGTTATGTGAAAGTGACCACATAGCACAGACCATCGCAAACAGCTTTGAGATTCACAGACAAGATCAAGGGGGACAAGTGTAAGATGGAGGAGAAGTGTGAAGGTTTTCAGCAGCTTTTGTACACAATACTTTTCTAAGTCCATTATCTTCCTATTCTTATTTCTTATTTCTATTTTGTGAACTCGACATTTGACAGTTGCTTTAACTGGCCTCTTCTTTACCCGCTCGGTATCTTTGCGCCCTCGCTCCGTGATTTTCTCAATTGTGTGTCGTTCCGTAACTGGTATCTACGACGGTTTCAAACAAAATTTCAAATGCCATTCAACTATTTTTCTACGTGCTGCAAATTTTTCAGTCGAAGTCGAGATATTGCGATTCGTACTGAACGTTGTTTGGATTGCCGGTATAGTTCGAAAGCCTGATCAAATTATGTTCTGTGGGCTCTTCTGCATTCTACTTTTTTGTCTCAACATCTTAATCCTTAATTGAATTCAATGTCGTTCCAACCTGGTCAATCAACCTTAGTCAGACTATCCTCCTTAGGAGAGAAAGAAGGTGAAGAAACCACCATCGTTAAGGGCTCGAGTGCTTTACCATCCTTGGGGGGTCACACCGCAGCATGAGGCCTGCAGTGAAAAAGACAGAAGCAGAACTGCGGTTATTGAGGGATAGACACAGATTAGAATGTGAGGTAAAGGAAGCCGTCTTCGCCAACAATGGTGCGAGGCCGAGACTAAGCCGGCTCTTGCAGAGATTGAGTGCAACAGCCATGCAGACGACGCAGCATCCAGGTGCTCCAAGTCAGGCTACATGGTAAGGGTATAAACCTATCTACAAGAGAGTGTGCTCGAAGTGAAGTTTAGTAGGGGCGTGAGAGAACTACCTGCACCTAGGCATGACAGCCTTCTCGGCTTAGAACTCCCGCAGTTAGAACTATTTTTTTCGATGGCAACGCTAGAGAATATCGGCGATTCAAACGACAGTTTGACGGCTTCTTTGCTAGACTCTCTCGTGGAGAAGGTAGAAAACTGGCCTATTTGTTACACTGTTGTAAGGGAGTAGCTAGAGGGGCAATAGAACCATGCATGCTAATATCAGAGAAAGATGAGTGTNGTCATACGGTCAGGGAGATACTCGATGGATTATTTGATCGACCGCACGAAGCAGTCAGGGCTGTAGTTAAGGACGTTCTAGCTAAAACAGCAGAATTGAGTGGAACAGGCGAGGGTCTGAGCAGGATTAGCATTAAATTGCGAAGCTGCTACATGGACCTAACGGAAATGGGATGTGGATCCGAGTTGGATTCCATACCCTCGCTGGAGTCATTAGTTACACGACTGCCCAAATACTTTCAACGTATGTGGGCCGAAATGGCGACTTTATTGAAATGATAGAAGCAGACTCGAGGCCCTCGGCGTAACACGCATATGAACGTCACTACAACTAGACAAAAATCAGAGTCATTACAGAAGTTTCAGTGCCCTTAGTGTCGGAAATCACAACAACTGACTAAATGTGAAGGTTGTCTCAAATCGGATTTGGAAGAGAGACGGCAAATTGTGAAGAAACTAAAGCTTTCTTATAAATGCATTAGATACGGACACCTGGCGCGGGCATATGAAGAAAATGGTAAATACTTGGTTCATGGTTGCACCGGCAAGCATCATAGCCTGCTTCACTTGTCGCGTAGGGAACAAGTGTCCGTGAATATGCAAGCAATCGTAGTGGATTCCTGTTCCGCGCCGAATGATAATACTTACCTCGGAATAGTCCTGGTAAAAATAATGCACGGCGACAAATCGTTGAAGGTAGATAGATAGATAGATAGCGGTTTGGATACCACAATAGTTAGTGAGGAAGTGTCCTAACTGTTAGGGCTAAGTGGCCCGGGAGTACAAATAAACGTTCACACCGTGGCTGGAGAGTATCATCCGAAGTTAGCCCCCTTAGTGATGATAAAGGCATTAAGGTAAGCACTGCATACGCCATAGACGATCTGTTAATGCCAAGAGCTCGCGTACCGGCTAAGAAACAAAAGGCTCTATTAACCCAACCAAACGG